GTTGAAGATTGCAGCATACTGAAGAAGTGGGCCAAGATTCATTCCTATATTAATGATGTGAGGAAGCAAAAAAGAAAAATTCTTCCAGATATAATAAGACAAAATAAAAGAGAAAAATACCGAGGGCAATAACACTAAACATGTAAAATAAAAGGCACAAAAGCAGCTGGATATTTATAAGTAGATATGCACTATTTTAGTTAAATAACAAATTAAAATTTTAAAGCTAGGTAAACCTGTGAGAGTGGCAAACACCAGGAAAGCAGAAATCCGCTTAAAGAGATTGTCCTGCTTGTGTTCGGTGAAATAAATGTACATAACAGACGCGAGCGAGAGGAGGAGCGAGAGAAACAGAAAGCCACCAGACATAAACTAAAAGAAAAGCGTCAAAAGTGAAATAACATTCAGCTTACCTTTACCAAGGACGTAGTCAAGAGCAAATATGCTCCTCCAAATGCACACATCAACCCAATTGATAGTAAGCTATAGACATTCCGCAAATGGGCCTGAGTGGGTTTGCCTCTGAACAAGATTACGGAATAGGGACTAACATATCATTCATCTGTAAGAGAGTGCTCAATCGAAAACGAGAAAGATTAAGCCGAACCACCATTTCGACAGATAGGTGACGTCGTATAAGCGAAGAACGAAACCAATAGTATCTAAAAACAAAAATAAGCGTAATATTTCTATGAAAAATAATTTAAATTGAAATAAATAGGTGTTATGATGTATAATTTCAATTAGCGCAAATTTATTAGATTAAAAGTAAATTTATTATTGCAAAATTTCTCAATAGAATCTTCTTTTAAACTTTTTTCTTTGATAACTCATATAACTTAATCATTTTGCCATTTGGCTTCTTCCGCCTTATTTCTACATTACCGTTGATCGTTTGCTACCCTCTGTAGTAATCCCTTAAACGAAAAATTCATTTAATTATTCGAAAGTATGAAGACCAGGTTGGTATGGTCCTTTGTATGTTCGCGGTCTCCTTTCGCTGTATAGAAGTTGTTTAACCTCGTTTTCGCAACTTGGTCATAATAGTAGAAAGTCATACAAGAACTCACCTTGTCCGAAGTCCATAGTATGCAGGATAATTTCCAGAGCCAGACACTTGGTACATTTCCAGACGTTTCGCCGACATCATCAGTGATTTTTGCCATTCTCGGTAACCAAGCTACAACTCATCAAAGAAACAAGTGAAGTAAATCCATTGACCAACTTTCTGTCGAGAAAGTTATGCTATCACTTCTCGTTTCGTGCTCGTCCCTCTATCCATTTCATATTCTCTAGTCTCGCCCTCGTCCTATCACAACTTCTGGCATTTCTATATTCCACAAAAGATGTTCCCTTTTGGCGAAGTTACAGTGGCCTAATCACACCTGTTATCTGTCTTGCTCCCCTCCCTTTCGAGTACCTGATCAAATTCTAATCTCCTGTCCGAATCTGCCTAATTGGACCGTTGGTTTGTTTAATATCTTTCTGGTTCACCGATTTCACTCGGTTCTAGCCCCAGCATACTGCTAGTTAAGGTGGTATTTCTCAAGCATTCACCAGTATGTATAAAGTCGCCTTATCTTCAGAGCACCTAGGCTCTGATTCCCGTGCTTGAGCATATTAGGCATTACCTTAACGCCTCATCTCTGGATTAAGCCTATGTACCCTGAGCAAACTGTGGATACCTATCTCTGGTTGCCTGTTGCATCTCAAGTGGTCATAATGCTGAATTTCTGTGACTTGATCCCTTTCCCTAGTCACGTGAAGCATAGGGTCCTCAAAGTATTAATTGCATATTCGAGCTAACTATACTCACTATGAGCATCTTCGCTTCATTTCCAAAACTACCTCACTTTATTCCTCCCTGCGATCCCTTTTCTTATGGTTTACGATAGATCCTCCTATTATTTAGCTTGTCATATTTTATCCCTGGTTTATCCGAGTCTTATTAGGCAATAGATAAATCAATAACTAACTCTGCGTTCTTCCAATCTCCTGTTCAACACATTTTTTCTCCAAGGATGTTACTAGCTTCCCTGAACTTCAGTTTCTGTGTGCTTTCGCTGAATGAGGCCCTTTTTCTGTTGTCTTCTAATTGACCTCTTGTCCATTATCCTGTAGAGCCTTTGATGTTCCTTGATACTTATGCAGATTTTTATCCTAGTTTCCCCAATATATTTCTGTTCGTAGGCACCACATGCTATGCAGTAAACTCACGTGCAATCCAATTTGTAAGTAGATTTATAAATAGTTTTGTTTTTTCCTTCGTGGTTAACTAAATATTCCATTTTCTTAATAGTGACCGCAGTTTGTGATTTAGTTCGCAGGAAGGGAGACATATCCACTTTTGTTAAGCCTTCACCATCTTTATCTTTCTTACATAATCCCAGTCCTGCCATCGGCTTATCACGGACAAGTTTGTTTCTATGTATTACCTCTCTCGGATATCAATTCTTCCAATTCTTCCAATTCTTCATTTCAGAATTCCGCGTCCATTAATCATAGGCTTGTGATAAGCGTGTTCTTCAATATGCTTATCTTCATTGTGTAATTTTGATGAAACTTGATATTTAGTATTATTTCGAAATATGAATTCTTTCGGAACAATTTCCTATTTAGTGTCCTAGTAGAGCGAATAAACTTCACAACTGGGAGGGCCAAGCGCCCCTCTTCCAGTAAATACATTGTGAATTTGATTATTTCATCAATATTATTCATAAAATTTAGAAAATCCTTCCCTTTTTCCCTTCTATGGGACCATTTTGCAAATTTTCTATCCAAGTACCGCATAAAAACTCTTGGTTGCAGCGATGGCACATTGCAATTCTCTTCTAATTTGTCCATATCTTAATTTGCCAATAGAAGTGAGATAGTTGATCCTTTAGGAAATTTAAATTTATGTTCATAGATGTTGTCATTGAATGAGAAGTATGTAGTACTTATTGACAAGTTGATTGGTCGTGTTAACGAATCCATTCTGATACTCCCTGCTTCTAGGACAGCCTCTTTTCAATACAAAATTTCTAGGTGAGCCGTCAGCGCCTTTTCTCTGAAAATGTTTGTGTACATAAATTGTTCTTCAAAGCTTACCAGTAATTCTACTTCTTCCAGTGTTATATTAGGCTTAAAAAATAGCACCTGGAGTAAAACTACGCCCGAGCTGGAACCGAATGAAATCAGTCAACCAGAAATATATTAAACATACCTACAGTCTAATTAGGCAGATTCAGACAGGCGGCTAGAATTTGATTAGCCACTCGAAAGGAAAGGGAGCAAGGTAGACAGCAGGTATGATGAGGCCATTGTAACTTCGCCAAAAGGGCACATCACTTGGGGAATATAGAAATGCCAGAAGCTGTGATAGGACGAGGGCGAGACTAGAGAGTAGGAAATGGATAGAGGGACGAGCACGAAACGAGGAGTGATAGCATAACAGTCTCGACAGATAGTTGGTAAAGTTATTGACCTCACTTGTCTCTTTGATGAGTTGTAGCTTGGTTGCCGAGACTGGCAAAAATCACTGATGATGTCGGCGAAACGTTTGGTAGTGTACCAAGTCTACCTTTCGACTTTGGAAATTATTATGCATACTATCGAATCTGGACACGATGCGCTCCTTTAGGTCTTCCTGCTAATAAGACCAAGTTGAGTAAACAAGGTTAAACAATATCTCGCTTAATTATTTTTGGAATTTCCTTGATAATAAT